CCTAAGACCCGTAAGTCACACCAACCTGATTGAGTTTCCCTGACTCTATGAAAATAATTTCCTCTGATCCATGTGTAAATCATTCTAACCCAATTTTAATTTGATTTCTCTTTGTATGCTTTTTCCATGTTGAATAAGTAACATCATGGACCTTGCCGTCAAATTCTGTTAAGTCACGTGAAATTCTACATTATTATAATATCACATTTTAGGCATGTGGGTGGTGTTTCGTTTTTGGTTTTTTTTTTTTTTTTTTTTTTTTAAATCTGCAATTTTTTCTTAGGCCTTTAGTCTGAGACAACATAATGAAATACATAGAGCATCTGTCACAAACTTATTACAAATTAAAAGTATACTGAACATGCACCTTTAACACTCTTCAGCATTTAAGGAAAAAAAAAGGAGGAAAATTCCAGAACCATGGTTCCTGCTAAAAGAAGATTTCCAATATATATGTACAGTGAGGGCTGAGCCACAACAATGTCACAGATAATCCCCAAGATCCAAAATGTTAAAAAAGATGGTCTTCAACCTTCTGTGTTGTTCAGTCTATTTTATGAATAAAGAACAAACAGGATGTACTTGTGTAAGTTAGGCTATAGTGAAAATATGAATTCTACCGTTCCTTAACTTCTAAGGATCACTCCTTGTTTGATGTGTGTGTACCTGAATTTCTTGACGACGCCTGGCACTGGCAGATAATTTTTCAGGAGCTATAACACTAACATTAGGCACTACAAGAGTTCCATGTGATTCAAATACACCTAAAATGCAAACACAAGAGTTTAGACTATATTATTACTTTATATGAGAAGTAACAAGAAATAGCTTATTAATATTTGTGAATTTTCTAAGATCTGCATAGTATAGGGTTTGAAAAGCTGTTAAAAAACCCTCAAAAAGTCAGTCAAGTAGATAGGATAGCAAAACACATGCATGTAAATTCTCAAATGCTCACTTATGACTTTGAAGGACTGGTTGGTAAGACTAAGAAATTTGGTATTTTACATCAGTGTTCCCTGAAACTAGTAAAAGGTTCCAAATGGCTTGCAGAATTTTACAGAGGAATGTAGGATACCTAATATAAAAAAAAGAAAAGCTATTACAAGAATGAGGCAAGTATTTAATGCACAGTCCCACAGCAGAGTCAATGACAGAACAAACAATAAACTCTAGCCTCCAGCTCCCCCAAATAATAATAATTAAAATTTGAAACTACTTATTTTGAAATCCGAATTGCCACTTCTGGTAATCACACACACACACACACACACACAAAAACAACCCCCAAACCCAAGTTAAGCATGGCCACTTCTCTCCCTCAGTGTTATGCAAGTGGGGAAAATGAGTTTCTTTAAACTTACCACCAACACACCACACTCTATCAGTACTTAATAAAATAATTATCAAAAGGCAAACCTTTATCCACACAAGAAGTACTTATTTTTTATATACAAACTTCCATTATCAGACTAAGCAGTATAAATCTGTAGCTAGAAATGTAAAGGCATTTTCATTTGATGAAAATCTTAGTAGAAGAACAGGTCAACGTATACGCGTCTCAACACTGTAACAATCACAGGTCACATAATTTTTCGTCAAGACGACATTTAATTTCTCCTCAGTTAGGAAATCTTCATGGTTTTTGGCTTTTCCCCCTCCTGAATGACTGCATCAATGAATGCCTGTATGGGGAATATTCTATCTGCTGGTCTGAGCACTTAGTTTGGAGAACATTTTGGTTTCAAAAAGTGTCTCTAACTAGAGACACTGCTAGAAAACACTGTCTTGCTCTGACTTTGGTAATACTTTTATGTTCCAGCAATATTTTCTTATAAAACCGTTTTTAAGCAGAGAAACAGTTTGTGCATTCTGTAACTAGAGACTAAATACCTGAAATATTAGTAAATGATCCCTTTTGATTTGGTACTGAAAGATTATCTGAGGTTTCTCTAAAAATAAAACAAAGATAGTTAGGGAAACAAATTTACAATAACAAAGAAATACTGTAACAAGACATGGTTTCAGATTATCATACAACATACTTATTTCATTCCAACAGATAAAGAAATTTATGGAGACTTCCCAGCACATATCTGCAGATTGAATTCTATTCTGGAACAGACAGGGAATCATACAAAATTACATTACAAAATCAGATCTAAAAGCAATCTTTATGTTTCCTATGGATACAAAAAAATGTGCTCCCCATCATGCAAGAGC